CTGAAGCCTCATTCGGTAATAATGTACGAAATGCAGAAAACGCAAAAAAAGTGGATCAGCGCCATCTAGCATTGCGGATTTCTGAACTAAAAAGTGGCCCTAAAATTCTGGACAATATACGACGGTCACAGTACCGCTCAATCCAGTTCTGAGACTGTCATTTTTGCAGAATAGAAGAGGGGGAAAGAAAATTGATTGTCCCAAGTGCAAAAGCAAAATTGAGTCAGATACCCCCACCGATCGGTCAAACTACGCTCCGATTGGTTCGGAGCAGCTGTCGACTTTAGGTGCATTCGTCTGCCATTGGACGTGTAGTAGCTACTCCGATCCAATCAGAGCGTAGTTTGGCCGAATGGTGGGGGCAACTAACTCATCGTTTTTTGCGCTCGGGAGTCGGGAGTCAATTTTCCTTCCTCCTTATGCATAAATGACGTTCTCAGAACTGGATTGAGCGGTATTGTGACCGTCGTATTTTGTCCAGAATTTTAGGGCCACTTTTTAGTTCAGAAATCCGCAACGCTAGATGTCACAGATCCATTTTTTTGCGTTTTCAGTTTTCTACTTTTCTGCATTTTGTACAGGAACAGGATCACACAAAGAATAAACGGGATGGAATAATGAGCGCAAATCTTGATATGATTGTTGATTAACTCAAAAACTCAATTAAAGGATTTTTGCTAGTAACATTTGCGGAATATATAGCCTCTGAATTTATCATTCTGGCAAAGAAAGCACTCTGTAAGATGTACGGGAAGTTATGTGTAGTAGCATATATAGTAATCACTACTAAGTAGTTCTATGTGCCATCACTCAAAACATTGATGATATACTGACATCGTATAGATGCCAAATTCACGCCAAATTCCATCACTATGATGTCTTTCAGTTATCAGTTGTCAAACTGTTATCTTTTGTAATTAGTAATTATAGTAATCACTACTAATTAGTGCTATAGCGTCGATTTTTTAAGCCATATAAGTGGAATGTTTATGATTTTGGAGGTCAATTTTTAGGTGTAAGATAATATGTTAACTTGCCGCAAAGAGCACGAACCACGTCAATTTTTTATTTTCTATTTATTAAATTAGTTGCGGCTGGTTTACAATTGATTACATGGCTCTACTGTAAATGGTTGTAATAATTTGGATCAGCGCCATCTAGCGTTTCGGATTTCTGAGCTAAAAAGTGGCCCTAAACTTTTAACTCACAGCATTTGTGCTTAGAGCCATTTAGCCAATTATAAACCAGCCGCAACTCATCTTGTAGCTATAAAATCAAAAAATAACAGTACACGTGTTTTTGGCGGCATGTTAAAAATCTATTTTCTACCAAAAAATTGACCATTTATGTATTTATACTTTTGAAGATAAATTTTCGAGTAAAAGACAGATTGTTAACTTGCCGCCAAAAACACATGTATCGTTATTTTTTCATTTTATAGCTACAAAATGAGTTGCGGCTGGTTTATAATAGGCTAAATGGCTGTTGGCGCTAAAGCTCGGGTTCAGAAGTTTAGGGCCACTTTTTAGCTCAGAAATCCGCAACGCTGATCCACTTTTTTGCGTTTTCTGAATTTGTACTTTCTACTTTCTACTGATGTTGTACAGGACATCATCATCTTGTCATCTAGGGAATTTCTTGAAAGTAATATGGTGTTTTTTTTAGTGTAGAATCAGCCTCTAAATGGCGCTGATTATTAACAGTAAAAAAAATTAATAAACCAAGATTTGTCGATAGTATATAGGTATTCATAAATTTACCTTATTACTCCACGTATAGCATGTCAAATTAATCAATCAATAAATAGCAGGAACACATCAATTTCATTCGTGTAACATAACCTTTTACAAACATATGTATTTTTTATACAAAAAAACTATTTGATCACCTTTTACTTCTCGCACACTTGTACATATACTGTGAGAGAGGTGAAAAACACGTGTCTGTCAAAGTATGATGAAATTTCGTAACGACAGGTGCTAGAAGTAGTCACAACATCTATACTGAATTTAGTAATTGTTGGCTCACTATTTTCCGTTATACAGAAATATTTTATTCTCAAATAAAAGTATCAACACTTGTAAAAAGTGTGTGTGTTTAACGGTTGCAATTTTTTTTGTTCAAGTGAAAATATGAGTGTTGAAGAATCTCTTGCCAATGGCTCTGCCGAAGCCGAGGATGTCGTCACACCCTGGACCGTGTCCAGTCAAAATGACACTGGGATTGACTACGACAAGTTGATAAGTAAGGATATTTTTGACACCTACTTAATTTTTTCTTTTACGTGCCTTTCGTCATTATTGCACAACATTTAGTATTAATTTTTCACAGCTGTTTCCAAAAATAGGGAAAATAATGCAGGGGTTTAAAAATTTCAAATATGCTCGTTATGGAGATATTAAGACAATGTTAACCGTTTCAGAAAAATTTGGGAGTTGCAAAATAGATGATGAGATGCTCAAAAGATTTGAAAAACTCACTGGTAAAAAGCCACACCATCTACTTCGTCGAGGGATCTTTTTTTCTCACAGAGACGTGAATGTAATACTGGACTCTTATGAGAAAGGAAAGCCATTTTATTTGTACACTGGCAGAGGGCCAAGCTCAGACTCAATGCACTTGGGCCATCTTATTCCATTTATGTTCTGTAAGTGGCTGCAAGATGTATTTGATGTTCCTCTTGTTATTCAATTGTCTGATGACGAAAAAGCCATCTGGAAAAATTTGGACATTGAACAGGCTGTGAAATTGTCCTATTTAAACGCAAAAGACATTATCGCGTGTGGTTTTAAACTTGAAAAAACCTTTATTTTTTCGAATTTAGAATACATGAATTCTGCTTTTTATAAAAATATGATAAGGATACAAAGGAGTGTGACTTTTAATCAAGTAAAGGGTATTTTTGGATTTGGGGACAGTGATCCAATTGGAAAAATTAGTTTTCCCCCAACACAGGCAGCCCCGGCTCTGTCGAGTACTTTTCCTTTTATATTCAAGAACAATACAGTTCCATGTCTGATTCCATGTGCAATTGATCAAGACCCGTATTTCAGAATGACCAGGGATGTAGCTCCAAAATTGAATCATCCAAAACCTGCCCTTCTGCACTCCTCATTTTTTCCTGCTCTCCAAGGTCCAAAAACTAAAATGTCAGCCAGTGATAATAATTCTGCCATTTTTCTGACAGACACGGCAAAACAAATAAAGACTAAAATTAATAAATACGCTTTTTCTGGTGGCCAGGCTACTATTGAAGAGCACAGAGAAAAAGGAGGAAACTGTGATGTTGATGTATCATACCAGTGGTTAAAGTTCTTTTTAGAAGATGATGATAGGCTGGAGGAAATCAGAAAAGTAGGTTTTTCTAGTTTTTCTATTTTAAATAATTTTTTCGCTATGTTACAACAAATCATTTTACATTTTGACAGGGTTACACTAGTGGTGAAATTTTGACTGGTGAAATAAAAAAAGAGTTAATAGAGTTACTGCAAAAACTTGTGGGTAATCATCAAGAAATAAGGAACAAAGTTACAGAAGAAGACGTGAAAAGATATATGGAACCACGAGACCTTGGTTTTGTTGTTAAAAATTCATGAAACTGCCAAGTACATTAAAATAACTGTTGTCTAGTTGTGTGGTAATTCATTAATTATTAAAATTTATAATTTATTTTATAATGTAAAATTCAGTATTTCTTTAACTTTAAACCAATGTAAAAACAATACTTTACTGAATAAAATTTGTTAGTATCATTGAAGACAACTCACAGCAACTGATCTGCGTGTAAAAATAACTGCTTGATCTAAGAATATTAAAAAAGACTGATAAACAATAGAATTTTCAAACCACTTGACATAATCACATACATGTTGTTATTTACAAATCATGCAGATGTTAATGACCAGTCATGTCAATACTGTTAAAGTGAAATCTATTATAATTTTTGCAAAGCAAACCCATTTTGTAAAAATTTCTCTTGTTCATTTAAAAAATGCCAACTTCTAATAAAAGAATCAATTTTTTGAAGATCATTGTTATTTTCTTCATTTCAAAATATTGCTAAATTTTTATTCAAGAGTTTTTTAAATTATTGAAACCCGTGTTCTTTAACAGCTTTGGATGTTTGGTTTTGCTTTTACATTGGACGTTTAAATTCTAACTTATTAGTGTTTTCTATGTTTTGTACAGTTACCAAGTTTCTTAAACATCAGCCTTTTTGTTTTGTATGCACTAATTTTGTTTCTACATACCCTTAAAAACAATTTATTGGACAGTGATGTTTTGTAAGCCATTATTATTTGTCTATTTATTGATTTTTTTTTTTAAATAACTCATGTAATTAAAGATATTTCTATGATGAATGAGTGTTTCTTATCAAAGAGTTTTGATAATGTATGCTTTTTGCGAAATTTTATTGATAAACATTAATCAGGAACTTGTCAAATAATATTTCCATGAAATCATTCGTTATGACATGACTTCTGACATCAGCCAGTCAATAATCAGTATTGTCGAACTTACAAGTTGCAAAGTTTGATCAGACGGGAGTAACACGTGATATGATTCATAATGAAAAATTTGTTATTAAAATCATTCAAGCTATTTTTATAATAACTTACGCCAAGGTTCCTTTTTTGCGCTATAATCATTGATCACAACGGTAACAGAAGCTTTTTTACAAAAATGTTTTCTATCTCTTATCATTTATGACAGAAATGAGTAACATTATTTTTGAAATTCGTTGATAATTAGGCATTAAAAAATATTTAAACTCTATCAATTATTCTCTCAGTTCAAAATCATTCTGAACATACAAAATATGTACTTAGCAATAATGAAGCAAAAAAAGTAGTACACACTGAACTTCAAAAATTAAATATACTCTTGCATGTGAATGATCCACATGTTATAGATTTTTATACTACTGGTATTTTAATGAAAATTCGTATCTAAAAAAATTTTTTTTAAATTAATTTAATTAATAATTTTTTGGTTACTAAAAAAACCCACGAACTTCAATCCGAACCTTTGAACCCGACGATATCAGCCTTTCAAAACAGAAAATACTCAACTGTATATTCATCGCTTTACTGATACCACCTTCCTTTTCAAGATAAACAGCTCATTAAATTATAAAGCGTTTGACCTCGCAACATCTCCCAAAAATGTGGAAGGGAATACTTATCTGAATGATATAAACTTTTTTTGAAAAATGCAAATTGTTTGATATTTCAAAAATAAATGATAGTTAAATAATTAATCAATAGTGCAAAAGCACAGAATGAAAAATTCGGAAGCAGAACGAAATTTTTACTACTTTGGGTTATTGGTCGAATTGCTTTGTAGAGTCGTATTTTTATGCATCTACTTTTTAAATAACTTGGAAGTCACATTAAGTATAGGGGAATCAATGGCTCTAGACCTAAAACGCTTACTTTTAATATGTTCAATAACCGATGAACCATGTTGTTAAATAATTACTTCTACTATTTTAGTAACGTGTGGTTTCTAAAAATCTTTGTGTACAGATGATTGTTTTAATGATGAACATTTATTCATCATGATAATGATGTACTCAATTGTTTTGTACTAGAATAAAAAAACTTGTCATAAAAAATTTTAAGATTTACCTACGCACAAGTGCGATTTTTTAAAATAAAATATTTCGTGTAAAACAATCCTACGGATGTGAGATCCGCATTCTTTTGATTTCCTATGCAGCAACAAATTCTCCAGGCGATGAAATTTACTTTGATTGTAAGTACTTAAACAAGTCTCTCGTCATCGAAAATTACCTATTCAAATTTATGACAACAAAGGAAAAAAAAGCCCTAAAAGGTTCCTCTCTACAGAGTGAAATTTTTTAGAATGAATGAATTTACATACACCCGCTTAGAGTGTTGTTCCTGTGTGATATTTCACCCAGTCCCCCCAGTCATTTTTTTTACCTGGTAAAAAATATAAATAGGTAAACGTTTCGCCCCCGCAAGGCGCAAGCGACGCGCGCGCGTGCGTGCAAAAACGAGATCGCGCGCACATGATTGGCTAAAAGTGACGACGACGATGACGACGCAGACGCTCTAGTCTAGGCTTTAGTTGTGCCTTGTGCCCCCTGCGCGCTCCAAATTTGCTGCATCTTTGTTTAATTTTATCTCTTCAAAGTTTGATTTGATTTTCAACCAAACCATAGAGGTATAAGAATATAGCGCCACCCGACCATGCGGCGTTACCACAACCTATACGTAACTTAACTGCTGGCAGCATTTGCAGAATACAGCTTCTGAATTTATCATTCTGGTAAAGAGAGCACTCTGTAAGATGTACGGGAAGTTATGTGTATTAATTATAGTAATCACTTCTAAGTAGTGCCATATGATCGATTTTCGGGTAAAAGATAGATTGTAAACTTGCCGCAAACAGCACAGACAACGTCAACTTTTTATCTTCTATATACAAAATTAGTTGCGGCTAGTTTATAACTGATAACATGTCTCTACTGTGAGTAGTAATTAGTAAAATAATAATTTGGATCAGCGCCATCTAGCGTTGCGGATTTCTGAACTAAAAAGTGGCCCTAAACTTTTCAACCAGAGCTTTAGTGCTTAGAGCCATTTAACCAATTATAAACCAGCCGCAACTTACACTGTAGCTATAAAATCAAAAAATAACAGTACATGTGTTTTTGGCGGCAAGTTAACAATCTATCTTTTACTCAAAAATTCATCTTCAAAAGTATAAATACATAGAAAGTCGATTTTTTGGTAGAAAATGTATTGTTAACTTGCCGACAAAAACACATATACTATTATTTTTTGATTTTATAGGTACAGTATGAGTTACGGCTGGTTTATAATTGACTAAATGGCTCTAAGCGCTAATGCTGAGGGTCAAAAGTTTAGGGCCACTTTTTAGTTCAGAAATCCGCAACGCTAGATGGCGCTGATCCAAATAAACATTACTACTATACTACTACTTTACAGTTTATAGTATAGAATACAGCCTGAATTACATCCCTCCGCCATTCATAGGTACGCGTAATAAAAAACGCGAGCCCTCCTGCACTTCCAGTGACCGCGCTTTCGGCTCACCCTCAACCCAACCCCTATTGTGTGTATTTATTGTCGATCGCAATTTTTTTCCAGTAAAACACACCCCCGTTTTAGATGTCCTCAAACTTTTTTTGTTATGATTTTCAAACTTTTTTAGCTTCCTGTTGGGAGTTGGGAGTAGGGGACGCGCGTCGCTTGAACACAGATGCACGTGAATGTATATATGATATATTTCAGTCTCGGTCAAATATTGCCGAAAAGAAAACCGCTTCGTTTCGGGAGCCGAGAGCGTGACGTGAGGCAGATTCGCAAAAGGCAAAAGACACGCCACACGCAAGCATATACGCACAAGTTCTTGCTTGCTTGAACGCAAGGCTTTCTTGGAGGGCTCATTGAGGGCTGGACCTCATTAACATCCCAGTCTTTAAGTATACACCTATTGCGTGTGTTATTGGCAGTATAGCAGACCAAAAAACAGTGTAGTTTATTTTATAGTTATTGTTTCTGCATCCTGCCTTCGTGCCTTTTTCTTGGCAACTAAACGCTCTCCCGCGCAGGCAAAGAAGCTGTTATTACCTACTTTTTTTGCCGACCAAAAACGCGCACACTATAGTGTACGTTTATTACACCTAAAGAGTTGTGCTCTTTAAGGGTGGATAGCTGAAAATAAAGAGGTAAATATTATTTTCTTTTACAATTTCCATACGATATATATATATCTATAACGTAATGTTTATAAACGTTGGTTACTGAGTGTAGTGCGATTACACGTGTAATTATGGGTTAAGTTCTATGGCATTGAAACCTTAACCACAAAAGTTGTAGCGACAACGATTCTACAAGAATCTTCGTATTTCATTATTGTGCTAAAGAAAGAAAAAAAAAAGTCAGATAACATTATCACCTCGCTGTTTGGAAAAAATAGTATGAACAAGGGCAGCAAAACCGTGAGGAGATTCAGTGAAGCGTGAAAAAAACAGTGTGTCTATTTTGAGTGAAGACCCGGAGGGCTGATGGAAGGGAGCAGCCTCCCTGGCCTCCCTATTCCCTATTTAGATATATCACACACACACACCCATATATACTTGTACATGTGAGTGTCGTGACATCGTGTTGTCTCGTAATCTCGTATTGTGCTCTCCAGCTCTACTACTGATGCTCTCTCTTTTAATTCCCTCTCCTTCGCTTTTATTACTGTTCCTAGGGGTGTTGTAATACGGGCGCGTACAACAACAATAACGACACATCAATAGATCTAATTCTCTCGTCATTTATCGCGTGTGTGCTGTGTATACTTGAACATTATACATGTAGCCGCTCCATCTGCAAGTACCTATAGATCGTCATAACCTTAATTCTTGTTTTTTCTCTCTCATCCTCGAGGAAGTCTTTCAAGTGCCACCGGAAACGACACTCTGGGCAAGTGTAATCTCATCTTCCACGTTGAAAAATGTGTTTAAACGCCACGGGAGATCTTCGTTGATATTGATGTAGTAAGTGTGATTAAATATAGTACGTACGAAAAGAGAGCAAGGTGGTAAAAATAAATTCTGGGTTTAGGTGGTGTATTTGATAAGTTGAAAGAAAAAAAGTGATTAAAAGTTGTAAGAGAAGAGGAGGATTAATAAAAAGGTGACGTGGTGGCTAGCACAAGCTCTGTATAGGCGTTCGTTAGTAGATTTTTGAAGCAGTGTTGAGAGTACGCCAGTAGAAAGATTGTATTATTCGATAAAATAAACTGGAGTGACGGTGTGTGTGTTTTGCTAAATTTAATGTAAATTTTCGTTTTCTAAAAGTTTAGTATTAGGCAAACAATAAAAGGTAAAAGACAAGTAGGGACACATAGTGTACACTTATTACGTGGTTTTGCGTGAAGAGCGTGTGTAACAAACCGACGTTTTTCGCGCCCGCGCAATCTCATGCTCTTATATGAGTACCTACATGCGCATATATATAAGAGAAAACCAATAGTCTAAAGTTCCTACGTTCCTATAGATGCCCAGATAGTGTCTGTCTGTGGACAATCTCTCCTTCTCTTCTCTTCTCTTGTTTTGCTCTTTACTTCTGTTCTTGTTAGTCGTTGAAAGCAGGATGTAAATTGATTTTGGCAGTATGCATGGTATTCACTAACTAACCAAGAACCAAGTTTTTAGATATTGCATAGATAAAGTATCTTTTTTGCAGTATTTTTTTACAATATCCTGCTCCACCATTGTGTACTGTGTTATCCTTTTTTTTTTTTTTTAAGCATAATTATTCAAAATAAAAATGTATTTTGGGTGAACAACAATACTATTTTTTTTTCAATTGGAGGAAAAACATTACCAAACTATTACGTGTGAAAGTCACTGCATTACATGATTAAGAATACCATTTGACAAGTGTTGTTAGTACTACTTCAAGTACGCCAATCACGTATCATATTGTCAGTTTGTAGATTTGTTCGCGTGTATCACAAGACTACTGAGTTTTCCAAAGTTGTATAATTGAGTAATCGCAAAAAAACGCGACTAAAAATAATGAAGTTGATGCTGCAGCAGACGTTACACCGAGAGAACGTGCTTATTTATTTTCATTACGTCGCTCCTCGATTCCCATCACGCATGGCTCCAACGCCGAGCGATGAGCGAAACTTTTCGAGCACCTCTAAAAATAGCCGTTAGATCAGCCATTAGATAATCCCGACGAAAAATTAATTGTTTCAAAATCATTAATTATAAGCTCCGTCGGTTTTGCTATTGCTGCTCTGCTCCGTTTGTCTCTCTCAAGTCTTCGTGTCTGAGTGCAGAGCACTTATCTCCGCGATCAGTGAAATAAGCTTTTTAGCTGTCATTCAGTATGATTCACGTCAAATAAAGAAAAGAAAAAAACACGTGTAGAATCTCATTAATATTGATAGAATTCAGCTCAACTTAGTCAGACGCAGCAACGTACTGTGCTCCATAATCTTATTAACATAGTTAGCAAAACTTTCTTCTTCATTTACTTTGTATCTATAAATTATGTTTGACCTCTTTTAATACTTCTTTTCGTTGTGGAGTGAGTTGAATTTAGTTTTAGTGTTTTTATTAATAAAGTAAAATATGACTCTTCACACAATTATATGACAAAGTTTTGTAGCACATTGTGAATTGAAGAAAATTAATACGTTTAATACTGGCTGGGCTATAACAGTTCTAAATTCTAACCATCTGTTAATTTTCAGCCTGAAACATGCCAACAGCTCTTTCTTTTCATCTTTGGAAAAAGATGGTTAAATAATACACAAGAGAATTAAAGTGTAATAACAAAGTGATAAGCATAACTAAAGGAGTATGGGAGCGTTTTTGGATACACCCAAGACAGAAAAGGTCAACGAAAAAGGAGAAGGCAATGGTCTCAAATATGGAATTGCCAGTATGCAGGGCTGGCGGTTGGAGATGGAGGATGCACACAGAGCCAAAACTGGCCTGGATGGAGGCCTGTCAGATTGGAGTTATTTTGCAGTGTTTGATGGTCACGCAGGACAATTGGTGTCAGCACATAGTGCAGAACATTTGCTAGAATGTATATTACAAACCGAAGAATTCAAAGCTGAAGATGTGAAAAGAGGGATACATTCTGGCTTTTTGAGTTTGGATGACAAAATGAGAAGTCTTCCTGAGATGTGTGATGGCACTGACAAATCTGGATCTACAGCGGTAAGATTTTTTTTAAACTATAGCAATAAGTTACACTTACGTGTTAACAATGGTCTTACTTAACATGAAAATGGTTTCATAGTAATATATAAAGACTCATTTTATAACAACTAAAAATGTATTAATTAGTAATTTACTATTGTAGTTTGAAACAATATTTATCGAAACCCTGTTACATTTTATAAGTAGAAAAAAAAAAATTACGCTTATTTCTGATTTAGAACTTTATTTTTCCAACCACAATAATTAATTTGTGTAATTGATGAAAATGGACGTATGTATTAACTTTCTATTCTCAACATCCTAATTACAGGTGTGCGTGTTTATATCACCGACGAAAATTTACATTGCCAACTGCGGTGACTCGCGCGCCGTGCTGTGCAGGTCAGGCAATCCGATCTTCACGACACGCGATCACAAGCCAGTTCTACCAGCCGAAAAGGAGCGGATCGTCAAAGCGGGCGGTAACGTGATGATCCAGCGAGTGAATGGTCTGCTGGCAGTGTCGCGCGCCCTCGGCGACTACGAGTACAAGAATGTCGAGGGTCGGGGCCCGTGCGAGCAGTTGGTCTCGCCCGAGCCGGAGATTTTTGTGCGCGACCGTGATGATGAGCATGACGAGTTTCTCGTGCTGGCGTGTGATGGCATCTGGGACGTTATGACCAACGAGGATCTCTGCGATTTCATACACTCCAGGTTGCTCATCACCGACGACTTAGAGTCTGTCGCCAATCAAGTAATAGATACGTGCTTGTATAAGGTAATTCATTTGAAATTAATCCACTATATTTTAATAAGATCAAATACAATATAACTACAGGAAATTGTACGTTTGCAATATGTATATTTAACAGTTAAATTTATTAAGTATTAATGATAATGATTACAGGGTAGCAGAGACAACATGAGCATAGTGTTGATAACATTCCCTGGAGCTCCAAAGCCAAATCCCGAGGCAAAGAAGAAAGAGGCAGAACTCGACTTGTTGATCGAGAAAACTATTAAAGGTTCAATATCTTTTCCATATATTTTTTCGCTACTTACTCTGTGCTGTTGCATTAATAGGCGATCAGCGCGATCACGTGTTCGCGAACGCACCTGACAAGCATATGAATCCGCGAATAAATAACCATCCTTTGTTGTCAAGTGGTTTTTTGTTGGTGCTCCTAAATAAAAAAAATATATATATTTACATATACATAAATAGTCGTGTAAAACAGGTTGACAATCGTAACAGATGCGCGCTGGTAGCGAAAGGGTGAATAAACTTGGCTGAGCCAAAGTTGTGCTAAAATTTTATTTTTATTGAGACAAATCATATTTTATTTACAAAAATATATTTGTAGAGCATATTTCTCTGGCACGTTAAGTGCACAAGGGAATGTTTGTAAAGTAAACTAACTTGCTAAAGAGAAAAGGTTTTGTATATTCTACTGCAAAGTATTAATGAAAGTGATGTTTGTTATAATCAAAGGTTTACTAATATGAATTAACTACAGTAGTAATTTTGAATTACTGTGTAGGGTACTAATTTAACGTGTATTAATAGAAATGCTGCCTTTGATAGAAATTAATATTTCCCAACTACCTAGCTGGTGAACATACAAAAATATAAAATGCAGGTCAATTAGATTTTTTAAACTATAACATTTTTATGTGAAATGCTGTAAATTAGTTAAAATTGAACATGTTTAAACAGCTGTGAAGTTAGACTAAATTTTTAAAAACATAGTAAAGATTTTCACTCAGTCGAACTTGAAAAATATGTTTGACTCACTCTCTAAGACTGTAAAATTTTAGTTCACTACTAACATATTACACATTCAACGATACAAAAAATATTCAATTCAATAAGATGATTTCAAAGAAATGATAAATGATGATTGATTTCAAAGACATGATGAACGAAGAAATGATGATTTCATTTTAATGAAAATTATAAAGCTGTATTAAAACATATAATCAATTTAATTGTTATGCAGTATGAAAATCGAAACTAAAAACATCTTGAATCTTACTCGACAACCATGCAATATTTTAAATTTCTCTCAGTGTAATATTTCAGTTAATTAATTATTTTCTAGCAACTATAAATATTAAATGAAGATGATCCTAATTTTCAAATATATTGACATGAGTATTAATAATTAAGAGTAGAAAAAAAAGAAAATCAAATGTAATAGAATATTTTATGTCTGAGAGTATATAGCAATGACCACAGTATTGTTAAAGTATTTCTGTTATAATACGTATTCATATTCAAACATATCGCCAATAGTTATATAAACTTTATTTTGTCTACAAATTATATTGTCCTGAGCCTATAGTACAAAAGCAATAAATATTGTGAATTATTACTTGTGATCTTAAATGACGTTGATTCTTGATTTATGATTTTGGTTTTTTGTGATTATGATTTCAATTTCTCGTTACTATCAAGTAGGAAATAGTTCCACCTTTGGAGTTGTTAAGTTGAATTTTTATTAATTTTAAAATTATTCGACAAGACGTGAATACTCAGGTAGGTAAAATTAAAGTGATTATGTTTTAGATTTTTCTATGCATTATTATCACAAGTTATTCAACATACGTAACGGCAATGCATTTCTTATGGCAAAACATTGCAGTTGCCGTAATCTTACTACAAAATGATGTAATAAATTATGAAATCTGGAACTACAATAATCTCATGATCAAAAAAAAAAAAAAACAATTCCAATGGTGGAAATTTTATTGAAAATGAGACGGTATTGACGAAAAGAAAAATGTAATGACAAAAAGAGAATGTATCTACTTACGACCGGAGTATATAGATAAACACATATATTGACTTCATGTAATTGCCTTCGTCCATAAGAAATGTACTGTAAAATTCACACGAAAATTCCAGTCATAAGTAGCTGCATGTTTTTTTGAAGTTCACTTAGTAATTTGATTATTGCTCATGAGTGTATTTTTTATCTTTAGTATCAACATTTTACATCGCCCATAAATCATCTTACATATTGTGCTAGTTAAACAACGAACATACGTTAGTACCATCTCAAAGCATTTTTATTTAACAACTGTCAGTCATCTCGAGTATATTTTTAAAGGTTGTTTTTATTATTACTTATTAGTATAAAAATAAAATGAATTAAAATTGTTACTGTGAATGCAACATGCTCGCATTGTGGAATCCTTTATTTCAAACTTCATAAAGTTATTTTTCTCTGTAATGCATATGCACCCTTTATTTTAAGTTATTAAAAATATGTCATACTTGTATTTTGATATCAACTTTTTTTTTCAACAGATATAATTTCCCGTGAAGAAGGCAAAAAGGACTTTAAGTTCATGACACTTCTTCAGATGCTTCTTGACCAGAGTATACCCAATTTGCCTCCTGGAGGTGGGCTTCCTGCAAAGTAAGTCTTTATTAAAATCATTATTTCTAAAGTAATAAATATTTTGTACAATCAAACTTTTCTATAAAATATAATCCATCGAAATACTATCAATGGCCACGTTCACAATCAAAAGCTCGAATAAATATATATATATATATATATACCAAGTCTTACCAGCGTTACGCGAGTCATGCGACTGCCGAGTAGTAAGAAAGCTGTTGCTTCACGGAAGTAATACAACTATGACGTATGTAAAGCGTCGGTGGGTTTGAGTAGTTACTCTATTACGAAAGCTCGGCCAAAATCTAGTCTTGCCGAATGCCAGTTAGACTTTGTTTACGTAACTAAATCTGGCGGTCGAAGGTTTCCGATGTATTACGTAGAAACGCGAGAGATCGTCGGATCGACGATTTTTTTTTGGCTTGCATCCCTCACTTACAATTATAGATTTCTTTCCGAAATAGCACTTTCGTCGTTAACCTTGGCTTTTACGCTTGGAAAGTTTGGCTTCACACGTGCGTGCATTGGAATTTGAAATTAATCAATAATATTCAATTTTCCTTAAAAACTTAGTCATTTTTTTGTTTTAGAATAGCTGAAACTATAATTAATAAATATATTGTTGGGACATAAAATTATCTTATTGTTTATTCCTCCAATATTTTTACTAATGATACCATGAATTTTCTTGTTTCAGGCAAGCGTTAATCGAAAGTGTGTTTAAAAAAGAATGTCCTAGCAGAGCAGAAAGTGTAACCCTTTGATACGATTTTCTTCAATACAACTAATGGTCAACTTTTTTCTGAAAAAAAAAAAAAAAAACAAATTTCATCAGATGTACAAATACAACAAAGAAATATATACCGATGCGAACTCCAACCGAAAATCCAAGTTTAAGTTAAGATACTTTTCCATCGTGATTACGACAAATTAACGAAAATTGATTGTTTATGGGGAAAAATTTAACAAATAGTGATCCAGTATAACGTTCGAAGAAATTTTCATATATTTTATCACGTTGTTTGTGCTATCTATCATTGTATACAATGTATGGCATAAACGCTTTTACGAGCATGCGTAACTATTGACGAAACTTTATATTCATGTATTTTATTATAACAATTTTTTTTTTTTTTTTTTTTTTTTTTTTAATGACCCTTGTATATTTGTGAATGTTCAGCATTGAGAGAACCTGAAACCTGTAAATTAATTTTTTTAGATTTGCATGTTTTGTAGTTTGTGTCGATTATCGGTAACAGACTTTCGTCATCTGTCACTATGCTAGATCATTTTAATAATCAAAGAACAATGATATGATTTCATTGATATGAATCATGATATGATGATAGATCATGTTTTTACTTTAATCATACGACAATTTTAAGTAAATATATTACCAAGTTGAAGTCACTAGAGCTATACAGAATGTATTCAAAAGGAATCGTCATTTATTGTTTCATCTGATCTACATCCTATTTATAAAAAACTAAGGTAATGAAACATTATAAATAATCACGTTTTATATCTACATCAGTGGTTTAGTTGATTATTTCTCTTCAATATTGTTGAATTTTCGTTAATTTCTCCTGCCGTAAATAATGAGCGACATTATGTTATAGTTATTGAGAACGGGGTATACGCATTTGTTGATGAATGACCGTGCACTCCTATACGAATTTCGAAGTAAAGATTACATCCAAACGTATTTATACCATGAATCAAAAAAATCACTTTGTATGCTGTTTGTAAAAAAGTATTAAAACCAAAAAAATTTGAGTATGCACAGAATGAATTTTTCAAAGTTTGTTATGTACTCGTAAGACCTTTACTTAATTCAAATTTAGTACATAAAGTCATATCTTACGTGCGGGACATGATTGAATGAAAAAATGTACTTTAATGGAGGAAAAAAAATAAATAAAAAAAAAATAAAGGTAGAAACAGAGTAAACGAGTCAATGTAATGAAGATTTCTAAAACAAAACGAATGTTTCTATCTCACAGTTCCCTTTGCCATGTTATCATGGATACAAGTAAAATGTGCGCGATGTATGGCGACACAATACGAGTACATACATACACATATATTTTTGTAGTTTAGAGAATTTGCGCTCAAAAAATACTTATTTCTAGCAGGATGAAAATTTTTAGCTCTTCATAATGACTGTAACTGTCATTGGGGTAATCAAGTTTTTAGTGAATGTACTTGTGAAAGCTACAAAGGTGACAGCATTTTTGCGTATGTAGGATTAGAAAAAGAAAGTTGACCACTTACTCTTTAACTGTATTGAATTTGACAGATTCGTAAACAGCAAACGAGGAAGTATATTGAAAATTTAAACTTTTTTCAAAAAGGAATTGCACAGTAAACTTTGTATATTACTTGTAACAAAAGTGTCTTGAGTTGTATTTAATTTTTTTCTCAAGTTCGAATGTTGAGCATTAATTTTATATAATTTTAAATATTGTGACCAAAAGTTTTCAAATTATTTCCATGTATATTCTTACTTATCAACATGCATTTTTCTACAAAAATTTTTTCAATTTTGAACTCTTTATACTGGACTGATGGATTTATTTTATATTAAATGGTAATCTTTTTTTCTTATAAGTAATAGTCCGAAATGTTTTATGACAATCAAAAAAAATTTTATATCTTATGAAAGTTCATCAATTTCCAATTCTATTTTACGATTTATTTTAAACTAAACAATGATTTGAGAATGAATAAACTTAATAGGTTTAACTCTTTGTTTGTTGCAAATAGTCCTTTTCTGAGCGTAAAAGAAGTTGTAATCGTAAATCTGTGTTAATATGCTTGAATTATTCCGAATATTCAAGTTTGACTAGAGTAAAGAAAAAGGCTTGTCACTTGAAAATTTGGAAGATTGTAGTTTTGCAGAAAGACTAGTACCTTCCAGAATAGGACTATTTTTTATATAAAATAAGAATTTAATATTAAATGATGCATGATTGGATGGGAATAATAATAAAAACGTTAATTTTATCGTTCAGGTGATCTTTTTTTTGTCAGTAAGTCATTAAATATATTGATAATAATGTCGAGATTTTTTTTTCATCGTTCAAAAGCGATCATTGCGATGATTTACGCATTTTTCTTTTCTCAGTTTGTTCACTCGCACAAGAGAGAACTCAATATTTGTGACTATTAATTTTGAAAATAATTTGTTTAAATACAAGGAAAAAACAAATTATCTTACCTGAAAATTGTTGTATTATTGAAAAATTAGCGGGTTTTAATATCAAGAATCATAGAAATAAATATGTGATTTTAATTGAGTATTAATAATTGTCCAAACCCTACCTTCCTATCCGAAAATCTAAAAATACACCATTAAATAATTATTTTTTTTTAGTCAAGACAGTTCTTATCATTCAAATCATTGTGTGTATAGTTAATTAACCTTTGTCCTTTGTTTTTTGACATATACACATCAGAGGCGTGTATATACCTATATACTCTTTCTAAAATTGTCAATAATTTCTACAAGACAAGTCAGTTAGTCTTTGCAGGCATTGCCTTAGAATAATTAAATTTTCTACGAAAAAAAATATCAATTGTGAAAAACACCGTAATTTTTTATATAATAAATGCTGGAAGCTTGTAGGGATCACCCTGACGCTGATTAGAAGACAAAATGACCCTTGTAAAAATGAAAAATTATCTATTTTGACTTTTGGTATACTTATGGCTAATAAAAAAAATCAACAAACATTCAAAAAGTGTCTGCACATGCGACTTTTTTTTAGAAATTCATAAGCAGCAGAATGGTAAAAAAAAAAAGTAATCCCACTAGCTCTGTCTATAATGTTTTATTACCACACTTAGTAACCTAGTATTTAAAAAAAACTTTTGTTCCATTTTGTCAGATATTTCACATTCAATATTTGTTTAAATGAATCATAGCCATCTTACATGCTATGTAGTATATACATCTCGTTAATTTTCTGAAATCAACCAAACAATATTAATTAAAATTTTTGTTACATAATTTTTTTAATCACTTAAAAAATGTATATTATGTATTTACAAACTTGTATCTTAATCTAGATGTATATATAATTAGACTGTTGATATGAATGAATGACACATTCACAATGGCTTTTACGAGTTGATCATAATAAATTGTGCTGATATCTGTTCATATAATAATAATAATAATAATAATCAGTTCTATTTTTCATATTTTTATACAATGTTCATGAGCCTATTTCATAACGAATCCTGTACTTACAAAATACGTGAAAGATAACAAGATTTGCGAAGTGTATAGTAATGAGACATAAATAACGTATCTATACCACAGAAATTTTTTTCGTACTTTTTTTCTGAAATTTTGCTATAAACATTTGTACTTTAAACATCTCCAGTTGGTGCCCATTTGTGGACACTTATTCTTCAAAAATCATTATCGCAAGCCGTTATCCTGGCACATATTTTTATCTCACTCACATCAGACAATTACACCTGAAAACATTAATTTTATACTTAGTGTTTCTATAGTTGTAATTCATTATCATTCTTACATATATATGATTATATTATTAAATTTACTAATATTATTAAAATTATGACAAATTGGTTATCTCTTAGTTAAGAGACTTTCACACTTCATATCACATTCCTGATCTACGTGATTTTTTAATATATCATATTAGTCAAAACTGACAAAATTTTTGAGTTAATTAAACTTTATACATTAAACAAGTCAAGCCTTTGCAGAGCTGTACAAAAATATCAATTTCATCTTCCCGTAAATGTTGATAACTGTAATTCCTATACAAATATTCGTTCTTTTTCACTAATCAGTCAACAGCCATTTTTTATACTCAAATTTTGGACGTTCGTAAAAGTACGCAAAGTTATTTTTCTCGTTACTTTTATTTTATAAAACAAAAACTTTTGCACAATTTTACGCAACCATCATTTATGAAAAAAGACGCACGATAACTTATGTTGTAAAATCTTACTTTGTATCGACGAAGTTTTGTAACGTAAGATTTGTCTTATTCTAGAATTGAACTTTAATTTTCGCTTATGACACTTGAACGTTTCTGATAACCTAATGAGACCAATTGATCTTTTGGTGTATTGTCAAATGTCGTAAATTATAACATGAAAAAAGTAAATTATACAAAATCTTACAAATATCTTAAGAAAAATAAATAAAAACAGATCAACATTCAGTTACTTGTTAGATGGTTCTAGTGAATTCTTGAAATCTAGTATATCATTTAAAATCTAGTACCTACTTACAAAATGAAACTAACCATCAGTAAAAAAATTCTTTAAACTTAAAAAATCATGTCCATATATACTCATTTCACCAAAAATTGTACAGTTCTATCTGCTTGTCGTAAAATGGTGTGAAAAGCTCAAATTCAACCTATTTGTTGGTCCAACCTCTCCACATCGAAACAATACTGGCCGCTGCACTAGTCACTAAGCCTCCTGCTACGCTTTGATTTACTTGGATGTTTGAGCTGTGCTGCCTAGACATTGCAGCTCGTGGAATAGGTATGGTTACTTCAGGACAATCTACATGTGGAACCTATCAGTAAGAAAAAAAATACGTAAATAATAATTAAGAAAGTAATGTTTGCTCCATCAACTAAAATTTAAACTTACTGCCTCCCAACCAATGTCAAGATCATCATCTTCATCTGGAGAGGATGCGCTGCAATATTTTTCCAAGTCTGGAGCTAAATCATTGAACAAGTGCGCAACTATCGTCGGATCAGTTTCGATAGCTCCAGTCCTAGTGCATAGAGATATAATACAAGTTTATAACTAAACATTTGACATTTTTACCACAAGAAACGCAAAAATAAAAGTTACCTTCCCAAATCAGTAACTTCAACATCAAGCAAATTCATTAAATTTTGCAGCGTATGCCTTGGTTGTAAGACCGTAGGATCAGTATTTTGTGTAAGGCAAAGATACAAAATATTACTGTTAAGTCTTGCTACTTTTCCAATAAACTGATCATCTGGCATATCATTATCGTAAAACTCTCTGAGAAAAAAAAAGAACATTAATTTAATAAATTTATTGCAAAAATTCAACGCATCAAAACTACTTACTTGTACATCATTTTGTATGGAAGTCTAACATTGAGGTAATAAGCTAGAATATTAACAAGTTGTGTGGCATACGCGAGCGCTGCGGTAATATTACGTGCTGGATTGTGCATCATATTTTCCTTATTTATTGGTTCATCTTTGTTTCGCGCCTCTGATATGAAATAACCATATTTAATGTTACAATGTTATAATATTCTGGTGCTTAAGAATAATTCAAATAATTTTTACCCCAACGCGAATAAGCGCTGTAATCTCCAGATCCAGGTAGAGTGGGGTGAACAATACGATACTTAACTTGCGAATTATTTTCGATATTTTTATAAAACTTGTATACGTTGTCTGTATCGTTAACCCATTTTCCACGCACGTATGACGTTCCTGAAGCATCAGCCAGAGCATAAGTGAGCAAATCTGTACTGTCTGAAATTGACTCTTCACTACTGTTAGAACTAAAATTGTATATTTCAACATTATTGTTACCATTTGACAAAATAATAAATACATTTTACAACAAAGAACATCTTACCTTCTATCTGATGGTTCAACTCTGCTTAAAGGAAATATGTATTTAATCAGCTGTTTTGCAATTTCTCGAGCATGTGTCTTTATTTGTTGCTTCTTTTTTTCAAAAGCATCTCTTTGTTGCTGCCACTTAAATTTGATGTCAAGACTATACTTTATCAACTTTTCTGTTTGCACTTCATGTTTAGGTAATCTTGAAGTTATTTTTGCATTTATTTCCTTTAAAACTTTCAATTGTTGTTGTCCTGTTTGATTTAAAACGTTTATGTCATAAGATTAAAAAATGGAATGCAAAATCAATGTTTACATACCATCAGCGATGTTTTGTCTTGCTTTAGTTTCCATATGCTTCAATATTTTTACTCTTTCCTTGCAAGCGTTAATATCACAAATCTGTAAAAAAAAGAGCGTGAAATTTCACTGTTAACTAAAAATGCAAAAAACGAGAGTTGCAGCCAAAAATAAAAGTTAAAATATTAAAAAATACCAGCTTATCACGTTGTCGATGTTTCTCGAGAGCTTTTGTACATCTTTCTTCCAGTTGGTTGCGTGCTGCTTTTAATCGCAAGAACCTCTGCTGTTTTTCTATGAATCTGTAAACGACCAACCATATTACTAAGCACACTTTTTATACAAAACAAAATAGTTAGTGCAAGAACAATGTAGGTTTTATTTCAAAATAAACATACATGCTTTTAATTGGAGCATGACCCACAGAGTTCTAAATATAATTGTGTCTTATATAAAGACAAGACAATCATGTATTTTTTTTTTACTCTGATGTGTATTTATTTTATAAAACAGGTGGGTGTAGAAATATCGAGTTGGACTGAAGAGCATTTGATATCAGCCAAGCAAGTTCATGGAAGAAGAAAAAAAAAAAAAAAAAATTATCAGTACAAAAACAAAGCAATGTCAGTGTGGATCGCAAATGAAAAAGCCCAGGCTACGACAAAAGAAAATAAAAAAAAAGTATAACATTATCAGAACCAATTATCTGGCCAGTGGAAAAACTCATAACTTATGCATACGGCACAGCAAGCTTCTAGAATCGCGCGTTCTGTTTATTTACGTTGCCACCATCAGAAGTATATTCGAGCAAACGTACACCAAGAAAAACTTTTTTAAATATATATGCAGATACACACTAGCAAACGAAGAAAAGATACACCCATAAAAGACCTTACAAGGAATATTAATGCGCAAAATAGTGAAGATAAATCCAACAACAGCAATAAAGCTTACGGGTGGGTACAAAGGGGGAAAGAGCGAAAGAGAGAAAACTAGTGAGAAAGAATAACAAAAGAATAAACCTGGTGTCAAGGGCACAAGAGGGCTTGTACCTCTCGGAGTAGACGGACGACGAGTGCACAAAGTCACCCCGGTGCACGCACTGCTTGCAGTAGAAGCTCTTGCGCCCGTTGTGACAGAGCGGACACTTGAGCAGGTTGATGGCAAGCCGCTCGTCGTCGTCATCGTCCTCGGCATCCTCAACCGACAGTTGGAAGTCAGTGGGCGGCAGACAACTGGAGCGCTCGGAGCTGCTCGACCCAGCCATCGCTAACGACAGCAAGCAGCGGCCCCAGGAAAGACGGCCTCCTCCTCGTCATCGACCCGGAAGAGCTGCAGCCAGCAGCGATACAGTACCTCGTTTTTTCTGCGCTCTTCTTCGCAGATTTAATACGCACACTTTTCTCCTCGGAGACGCAACTATTCTGCCTCTAGGGTATGAATGACGTAGAATGAAAAACAATGGGCACTCAGTTGCTGTTGTATACCACCGCTAACGGCTCCATTTCTACACTTGACTCCTTGACTGTCACTCTCATCAGCTGATCCGTTATGTTATTTTATTTACCTTCTCTCCTCTCTGCTTAGCTCATCCCTTCCCTTACACACTTCCACTTCCACTCCACAATCCACTTTAATCTCCCTATGCATGGATATATTTTCTGGTTGTCACTAGGGGACAAGGGGACTAGGGCGGTTCGCGTTGTATATATCTACCCGAAAATTGACCTCCAAAAGTATAAATTTACAGGAGGTCAATTTTTTGACAAAAGATAAATTAAAAACTTGTCGCAAATAGCACAAATATCGTTAACTTTTTAGTTTCGAGCCTGAAAATCAGTTGCGGCTGGTTTATAATTGATAACATGTCTCTACTGTGAGTTGTAATAATTTTTGGATCAGCGCCATCTAGCGTTTCGCATTTCTAAGCTAAGTGGCTCTAAACTTTTGACCCACAGCATTTGCGCTTAGAGCCATTTAGCCAGTTATAAACCAGCCGCAACTCATCTCGTAGCTATAAAATGAAAAAATAACAGTACATGTGTTTTTGGCGGCAAGTTAAATATCTATTTTCTACCAAAAAATTGACCTCCTGTGTATTTATACTTTTAAAGATAAATTTTCGAGTAGAAGATAAATTGTTTACTTGCCGCCAAAAACACACGTACTGTTATTTTTTGATTTTATAGCTATAGTGTAAGTTGCGGCTGGTTTATAATTGGTTAAATGGCTCTAAGCGCTAATGCTGTGGGTCAAAAGTTTACGGCCACTTTTTAGTTCAAAAATTCGCAACGCTAGATGGCGCTGATCCAAATAATTGTAACTACATAGAGGCATGTTATCAATTATAAACCAGCCGCAACTAATGTGATAAGTAGACAATAAAAAGTTGACATTTACTGTGCTGTTTTCGGCAAGTTTACAATTTATCTTTTACCCAAAAATCTGCCTTCAAAAGAAATTTGGATCATTAAAATACTTAATGCTTAATGTTGGCCAAGATAAACTTATTAATTGCTCATAGCAGCAGAGAAGAAATCTGGTTTATCTCTTACTGGAGTAAAAAATCGCTTCTCACCAGTATTGTAACCGTATGACACTAGAGAATTGATAGAGGTATGTTGTTTCGAATATTATATCATGTAAATGTGTATCTGGAGATGCTCAAGGGGCAGGTGTATCCAGTCTAGGTTATACATATATGACTAAGTGAGAAAGCCCCGAGCATACTTGCATACAAGTTAAAAGTATTCAAATATGATTAAACTCATCATCTCTAATACTTGAAAACTTAATTATTACAGATTTTAGTCAAACCCGGTTGTGTTAAAATAATTGTACAAAAAGTCACAAAGGTTACAATATTTTCTAAGCCGGGTAAAATTGATTTTAGTAAGTAAATTTTGTAAAACAATATGCCACGCTTAATATATTATGTTTCAAAAAATTACAATTGTTTTCATCCATGTGGTAATCCAATTGTAGTTGCAAACAGTAATAACTACATTATTGAGTCTGATACTCAGTGTGCATCAAAATTTGGAATATTCCTAAGCAATAGGTCTTACAACTTCGATTTCCTTTCGTAGCTGTGATTGTAATGCACACAACACTATGTCAATAAATGCAATAGAAAGATTATTTTATATTTTTATAAAAATACTTATCGAATAAAAATGTTAAAAAACACTGAGATTATATGGCTCTTCTTGTTTTTTTATGTATTTCAATTAACAAAAATCAACACTAAACGTTACACTTAGTAAATACTTAAAATGATTATCAAATTTTAACATTTTGATAAAAACTCTCCCTCCAAAATCCACCTCCATAAGTATAAATATGTAGGAGATCAATTATGGGGTGAAAGATAGATTGTAAACTTGCCGAAAACAGCACAGTAAATGTCAACTTTTTATTGTCTATTTATCACATTAGTTGCGGCTGGTTTATAATTGATTGCATGGCTCTGTAGTTATAATTATTTGGATCAGCGCCATCTAGCGTTGCGAATTTTTGAACTAAAAAGTGGCCCTAAACTTTTCAACCAGAGCTTTAGTGCTAAGAGCCATTTAACCAATTATAAACCAGCCGCAACTTACACTGTAGCTATAAAATCAAAAAATAACAGTACATGTGTTTTTGGCGGCAAGTAAACAATTTATCTTTTACTCGAAAATTCATCTTCAAAAGTATAAATACATAGAAAGTCGATTTTTTGGTAGAAAATGTATTGTTAACTTGCCGACAAAAACACATGTACTATTATTTTTTGATTTTATAGGTACAGTATGAGTTACGGCTGGTTTATAATTGACTAAATGGCTCTAAACGCAAATGCTGTCGGTCAAAAGTTTAGAGCCACTTTTTAGCTCAGAAATCCGCAACGCTAGATGGCGCTGATCCAAATCATTACAACCATTTACAGTAGAGCCATGTAATCGATTGTAAACCAGCCGCAACTAATTTGATAAATAGAAAATAAAAAATTGACGTTGTTCGTGCTGTTTGCGGCAAATTTACATATTATCTTTTACCTAAAAATTGACCTCCAAAATCACAAACATTCCACTTATATGGCTTAAAAAATCGACTCTATAGCACTAATTAGTAGTGATTACTATAATTACTAATTACAAAAGATAACAGTTTGACAACTGATAACTGAAAGACATCATAGTGATGGAATTTGGCGTGAATTTGGCATCTATACGATGTCAGTATATCATCAATGTTTTGAGTGATGGCACATAGAACTACTTAGTAGTGATTACTATATATGCTACTACACATAACTTCCCGTACATCTTACAGAGTGCTTTCTTTGCCAGAATGATAAATTCAGAGGCTATATATTCCGCAAATGTTACTAGCAAAAATCCTTTAATTGAGTTTTTGAGTTAATCAACAATCATATCAAGATTTGCGCTCATTATTCCATCCCGTTTATTCTTTGTGTGATCCTGTTCCTGTACAAAATGCAGAAAAGTAGAAAACTGAAAACGCAAAAAAATGGATCTGTGACATCTAGCGTTGCGGATTTTTGAACTAAAAAGTGACCCTAAAATTCTGGACAACATTTGACGGTCACAATACCGCTCAATCCGGTTCTGAGACTGTCATTTTTGCAGACTAGAAGAGGCAAGAGGGGGAAGGAAAATTGACTGTCCCGAGTGCAAAAAACACGACGAATTAGTTGCCCCCACCATTAGGCGCGGGCCCCGCGGATGACGAGGTTAAGTTACCTATCACTTTTGTGTTGTTTTTAAAACTTTATAAATTAATTTGAAAAAGAATATGGTCTCTAACGAGGTTGAGGCTATGGACGTCGACGTCCCGTCGACGAATACGGGAAATGCCGACATGCAACAAAAACCCTCGTTGAAAAACACGAACGTTCCCTGGTAAGTAATATTAGTTATTCATGTGCCCTTAAATTCAATGTTAATTAATCCGACATACGCGATCTGTTTGCTTCCACAGGATTGAAAAGTATCGACCGCAGGTGTTCACTGACATTGTAGGCAACGAGGACACGGTCGAGCGATTGTCCGTGTTCGCACAGCACGGCAATGCACCAAACCTCATCATTGCCGGCCCACCCGGGGTTGGCAAGACTACGACGATACTATGCTTTGCCAGGATACTTCTGGGACCTTCTTTCAGGGACGCAGTCTTGGAGCTCAATGCTTCCAACGAGAGGGGCATCGATGTCGTGAGAAACAAAATCAAAATGTTTGCCCAAAAAAAGGTAAGGCTATTTGTTTTCACACACTACGTGCTTTACTGAATTGAGACTTGATTTTAGGTAAATCTAGCTCCAGGGAAACACAAAATTATCATTCTGGATGAAGCTGACAGTATGACAGAGGGTGCCCAACAGGCACTGCGTCGTACTATGGAAATATACAGTAACACAACACGGTTTGCCTTGGCTTGCAATAACAGCGAAAAAATCATTGAGCCCATACAGTCCAGGTGTGCCATGATTCGTTATGGAAAACTCACAGATGCTCAAGTACTTGCCAAGGTCTTGGATGTTTGTAAGAAAGAAAATGTATGCTGCTTTCATGTTTTAACGACTAATTCTCTTTAACTACGGCTGATAACGAGCAGTATCCAAATTAGGTTTCATACACAGATGATGGATTAGAAGCCATTGTTTTCACAGCACAAGGAGACATGAGGCAAGCTCTCAATAATCTTCAGTCAACAGTGAATGGCTTCAACCATGTTAACAGTGAAAATGTATTTAAAGTATGTGACGAGCCTCATCCACTGCTTGTGAAAAGTATGCTCGATACTTGCCTTAAAATTGATATTTGTAAGGCTTATGGGGTACGTGTGTATACAAAAATTTGTTAGGTATATTCGTAATGGTTACATTTTACTAATCTACTTTCTCTTTTTTTTTAAGATATTAAAACACTTGTGGGACATGGGATATTCACCTGAAGATATTATAAGTAATATTTTCAGAGTTTCAAAGAACTTAGACATTGATGAATATTTAAAACTTGAGTTCATTAAGGTAAGGAACAATATAAATCCTAATTGTATAATAATATAATCAAGATCTTTCAACCTACACGTTAATTCTTATAACGTGTTTTAGGAAATCGGACTTACACATATGGGAATTGTCAATGGAGTCAACAGTCTTTTACAATTGAATAGTTTAATTGCCAGATTGTGTCTTACTGCAAAAAGTGCTGCTAAATAAGTGGAAAAAATATCCTCTTAAAGAGTCTCTTTCTGTTAACATTTTGCTATTTTTATACTATTATAATTATAATAAATTGATTAAAATCTTGCCTTGTGAATTTATTTTCAATTACCGCACGAGTATCGAAGAGTAAACCTCAAAAGTGGAGTATTAAAAAACCATGGACGCAGATTTTTCCATTATGCTGATTTCTTCAAGGTTGTCATTGTTTTTTTAGTAATTTATTACGTTTCAATTTACCACCGAATGATAAGAGGAGCTGTTTTATGGAATCATTAAATAGGATATACTATACCTTTGACAATACCGGTTACATTGATTCCTTTTTTTTTTTTGTATATTTAAGAAAAAATGTAATAAATCCACATCTAAAGTAAAAAATCGCTAGCAAACTTTTTTTATTAATTTTACATGTCAGTATAACAGGAATGTTCAAACACACTATTTTTTAACGACTCTTTAGTCAATAGGTATGCTATGTTTTTAGAAGGTAAATAACAATTCTGTGAGACAATCGTGCTTATTTGTGTTGAAAAATATATATCATAATGAACGTAGCAATAAGAGAAACACTTATTTCAAACTCTTGTAAATTTGAAAAAATTGATCATTGTTTCTACTAGCCAATTACAACATTATCTTATTTATTCCATCTACTAATTGAGTCATCAATATTTAAGTATCCTCTTTTTCCTTGGCCCAATGGGAAAGTCGAGTAGTGGATATAGTCGCATGTTATTATCATAAGGCCTTCTGTGGGAAACGCGAATTACTCTGACTTTTTCTTTTTTTTCTTTAGAAATAACTAAACGACGACAGATAAAGAAAACCACTCCAGCCATGAAGCAGTATATAAATTCTATTACAGTCAGCATAGAGGCACCCAAGAAAAATCCAAATATTCCGCCAAATTGCACTGAAAAAATACGTTTTTTTAATGCTCAAATTAAATGTGCCATGTTGCAAAATACCGTCAAATAAATACCCAGAATATCAAGATGAGAAACAACAATATTTCTTTTGTAAAGTATTCCATCTGGTCTGTCAAAATGAAAATCCAAAAGAGTGACGTTTGGTTGCTTGTTTGGCAATGACATTACAAAGTCGTCAAATCGATAAGCTTTGCACGACGCTGGACAATTGCATTGCGTTGAAACACTTGCGTTCACTGTGAGTAGATATGTTTTTAAAAAATTATAGCGACCGAACAGTACCTCTACGCTTGTACTTGAAAATTGTCAAAGTGTTACCGTTCTTCGAGATACATTCCAAATCCGATATAGTGCATTCTTGAATATTATCTAAGGGCACATTATATGCGAAAAAAAAAATATTTTTAAAAACGTTAAAATTCGAAATCGTTGCGAGGGGACAAAAAAAACTTGTCTTAATTTCGTGAAGAAAAATTCATTATTAGATAAATCAAAATTATTAANTAATAATAAAAATAATAATAAAAACAACAATAATGTTTTCATGATCATGGTGACAATAATAACAACTGAGTTTTATGTAAGTATGATAAAGTAAATACTGCCTTGCAGAAAATATGGAATTTTAGTGATAATAAAAATTCACGTAAAATAATAATTCTCCATTAGTATAGCAGTGTACCAGTCGTTTGAGGGGAGGTCTGGCCCTGTATGTCACTTTAATAACTTATTCGCCGGTGATAGTCACTTTATTTAATCCTATATTAAATAAGATTTAACAGCGAAAATATACAAAAGTGGGATTAGAATCTGATTTACATGGGGTCCTACATTTTTCTTAGCTGTATATATGTACACGTTAAAGGTAAATATTTTTCATATTAACACAAAAATTGACTATTGAATAATATATATATATTTTTTTTTATTATTATGTTAAGTATGCGTGTTTTGGAAATTATTCCATACTAATGATAGTATATACTTAAACACTTATTTAAAATAATAGCTCCCAAAATGTATCATTTTCCTATCGACAATATTTGACAACCTACTACATTTATTTTTACCTTCAATGTCTTCAAAAATCTGGAAATTTATTTTTTTTTAGGTTCAAAGAAAAGCCAAGCGGTGGATAAATTTGTTGCTTATTATCACTTATGCAGAACGATGTCACACGAAAAACTTGAGGAACTGCAACTTTTTCTTTTTTTTCTGTGCGGGTAACAAAACGATGGTAAATAAAAAAAATCAATCCAGCGATGAAACAGTACATAAATTCTATGATCGTCAGCGCAGAGATACCCACGAACAATCCAAATATTCCACCTAATTGCACTGCAAACACACATATACGCAGCATGTGGCTAATTAAAGGTATTATGCTATTATAATAATTATTGAGCTTTTTTTTTTTTGAATCATGTAAATTTACATTTATAATATTTTTAAAGGTCCCAAGCAAAAATTATCTTAGCGAATAACTAATGATAAGTGATTAACATGGAGAACGAATTTTAATAACAAAATACTAATAAAAAAATTATCTATCCTATGATTTTTGATCATGTACCCGGTAGATTGAAATAATGTAAAAACTTCTCATATGAGAAACCAAATTAAAAAAAATGCAAATATCATGTTTTCGAGATTTGCAGGAATAGGTAATTTATGGTAATAACTCTGTCTTGCCTCCAAGCGTCAATATATATATGTATACGTACCATCTCTTTCGTAAAATAATTCAAGATTGCACCCACATAAAAGTTGTATATTTTTCTGTGCGCAATTGTTCAAGCAGTTGTCCCGAAAGTATTGCCCATTGTCGTATTTGCAGGGTGGGTTGTTCGTATTTTCTAGCTCCAAAATTTCATCGGACGAATGCACGGCCGTGAATTTAATAGCAACATCATATTTTACTCCATACCGGACCATCCGAGATCTTTTCGTTTTGACTTTGGGATGTGATAAAAAGTAAAATGATGTGTCCTCTGAAAGACAAATAAGAATAATTATTACGTTTTTTTACGTAATTTTCAATAGTAACAAGTGGAGGGGCTAGTAATTATTGAGTGCGGGGCTTAAATTTAATAAACACGTTTAATAATTTTAAAATAATTTTATAAGCTAACTTATNAAATCTGTAATTTATTTATAGTTATTATTAGTTCTTATTTGTTATACTTTTTAGCATTCAAAAACAAAATTTATTTTCCCCTTTTACTCAAGTGAAATTCAAAACTTTTTAAATCTTGGTAGGCTTAAATTTGTATTCTAGAACGATTTCATAATTTAGATTCCAGGGTCACGCAAAAGACTTCATTGACCAAATAGAAAAATTCGTCTTACCTTCATGTGATGCATGATTTTTATTATCCTGAAACTCAGTTGGATGATTTAATTTTTCATTTGTAATCATAATTTGTAGTCCGCTTCCACTGCCAAAATTATTCGTTGTGTACGGCTCGACCGAGAAAAGCACAGATGAAACCAATCAAAACTAGTAGTACCCATATGACGCGCTCAATTTTATACAGTTGACCATCTACTCCGTACTGTATGCCATGAAGACTCGTATGAGTCACAAAATATTTCAACATTGCAAGTGGACTTTCTACCCTCTTTGGAATATTGTTTTGTTTCTTACTTTTAGTNATCCAAGATTGCACCCACACAAAAGTTGTACGTTTTTTTGGGCACAATCGAGCAAGCAATTTTCGTAAAAATATTGCCCATTGTCGTATTTGCAGGGTGGGTTGTTCGTATTTTCTAGCTCCAAAATTTCATCGGACGAATGTATCACATTAAATTGGATCCCGATATCGTATTGGACTCCATAGGTGACCATCCGAGATGTTCTCGTTTTGACACTGGGATGTGATATAAAATAAAAAAATGTCGCGTCGTCTGGTGAACAAAAGAAACGTCACATTTTCGATTGCTTACAGAAAAAAATGCACGAATCAAATTTCACAGTTATTACTTTCTTTTTCAACTACATGATTTAATTTTTCATTTGTAATCATAATTTGTAGTCCGCTTCCACTGCCAAAATTATTCGTTGTGTACGGCTCGACTATATTTTTTTCAGTAGTTGTCAAAGAGTTGAACGAATAACACATTCCAAGCTCCGTTTTTTCAATGTCAAATAAATCGCAACAATTTTTCTTTTCATTAATCCACGTGCATTCGTGAAACAATTGATCACATTTGGGCATAAGATTTATTAATACCTCCGTTATGTTGATACCTTAAAAAAAAAAATCAATAAAATCAATGCGCCGATTATTTTTTGTTGTACCAATGGAATTTCCCTACTATCGAGTAAAGTGAGAATTTTGGTACTGTCGGTGGGAATTTGCAGTTCACCCAAATGGTTCCGGTCGAATATGGATATTTTTTTTAGAATCTCTACGAAAACGTCTCGTTCTTCCTTGTTACTTTCAGGAATTAAAGCATCTGCCAACGCGTCAACTTTGCCCCAATCGATTCGATTGCCAGGACATATGGTAACGCTGGGAAATGGGACATTGGCAATATTATAATCTAAATTTTCGATTATAACATTGGTATGCTGAGACTGTCAATAGAAATTTTTTTTTTATAAATATTGAATGCGTTAGAAAATAATCATTAATACTATTGATACAAACTTGGTAATTTTCCTTTATTTTGAGAGTCACGAGAAAAGCACAGATGAAACCAATCAAAACTAGTAGTACCCATATGACGCGCTCAATTTTATACAGTTGACCATCTACTCCGTACTGTATGCCATGAAGACTCGTATGAGTCACAAAATATTTCAACATTGCAAGTGGACTTTCTACCCTCTTTGGAATATTGTTTTGTTTCTTACTTTTAGTTTTCATACGTATTGTTAATAATTTTTTGGCATGAAAAAAGTTATTCTTGTCTTCTTCACCATATTGTTCTATTTCATAATAATATTACGGTTACATATTGATTGATTATAATAGAATAAACAAAAATTATTTGAAAGCAGTAAATATTACCCAATATATTATGTAATATTTTTGTATAATCCATAACTGTAAATAAGACTATTAAATATTAGTGTTATTATTTTGACTGATTTTGAAAGTAAAATATTTGCAAAATTATTTTCGGAAAGTAAATCCTGATGGTTATTGATTAAAGTAAGTGGTTTATAATGATGTATATATATAAAGGGTATTATGGTACTATAAAATANTGCACGAATCAAATTTCACAGTTATTACTTTCTTTTTCAACTACATGATTTAATTTTTCATTTGTAATCATAATTTGTAGTCCGCTTCCACTGCCAAAATTATTCGTTGTGTACGGCTCGACTATATTTTTTTCAGTAGTTGTCAAAGAGTTGAACGAATAACACATTCCAAGCTCCGTTTTTTCAATGTCAAATAAATCGCAACAATTTTTCTTTTCATTAATCCACGTGCATTCGTGAAACAATTGATCACATTTGGGCATAAGATTTATTAATACCTCCGTTATGTTGATACCTTAAAAAAAAAAATCAATAAAATCAATGCGCCGATTATTTTTTGTTGTACCAATGGAATTTCCCTACTATCGAGTAAAGTGAGAATTTTGGTACTGTCGGTGGGAATTTGCAGTTCACCCAAATGGTTCCGGTCGAATATGGATATTTTTTTTAGAATCTCTACGAAAACGTCTCGTTCTTCCTTGTTACTTTCAGGAATTAAAGCATCTGCCAACGCGTCAACTTTGCCCCAATCGATTCGATTGCCAGGACATATGGTAACGCTGGGAAATGGGACATTTTCAAAACCATATTCCAAATTTTTTATTGTCACTACTGTTTGCCTGGACTGCAATTTAAAAAGTTTCTTTTTTAAATTATTGATTGCGTTGAAATCTAATTATTCGTAATATTATTAATACACAAACTTGGTAATTTTCCTTTATTTTGAGAGTCACGAAAAAAGCACAGATGAAACCAATCAAAACTAGTAGTACCCATATGACGCGCTCAATTTTATACAGTTGACCATCTACTCCGTACTGTATGCCATGAAGACTCGTATGAGTCACAAAATATTTCAACATTGCAAGTGGACTTTCTACCCTCTTTGGAATATTGTTTTGTTTCTCACTTTTAGTTTTCATACGTTTTATTATTAACTTTTTGATGCGAAAAAAAGTTTTTTTTCCTTTTTTACTTCCACCACCTTTTGTTGATTCGTGCATGAAGTTTGTTCATAAAATTAAATAAAAATTATTTTATCAAATGAATTATTGAATGCACAGAGATGATATCACGTGTTCGACAAATGGTTAACGGGTCGCCAAGTAAAGTGCATTATAATTAATTATATATATATACGAGAAAAATGATTTATTATCAGCCTTAATCGTGTTGCGTACTCGAGAACCATTTTACGTGTTCACTCCTTTCTCTATAAAAACTGCAATATTACCAGTGAGGCTTTTTAATGGTTTTTTACTAGTCATATTAGTAATTTTTGATTTTATTGCTGTTATGATCGTTAATTTTATAATTTTGATCTATATATTACTTAGATTCTACAAAAAACTTCGTAATCTTGAGACTATAACTTCTAATAGAGTCGAAGTGCCGACATTCACGTGCCTTACTATTTGTAGACACCCAGAAAATGAATCCTCTGTAAGCTTTTGTTTGAAGTCAAAATGATTTTCTTGCACATATGGTTAATGGTACTTGGTAACTGATTATGTGCAACTCTGTGGGCAAAGGTATAAAAAAATTCATGGAACATGAAAAGAGGTAATATGTAGAGAATTTTTTTTCCCTTTTTCAACCTCATACTGAGTATAGCATGCGAAGATTAAAAAAAAAAGTTCGCTAATGAGTACTACGCTATTATCGATAGTTAAATTGTTAAATACATGGATGTATGTTACGTACATCTTAAAAGCTGTGGGCTTACTCATTATACACTGCATAGTTAAATAGAACATACCTATTATCGATTTATTTGAATAGCACCAAACACTACTTTTTACGATCCATCTTGATTTTTAAATTTTTCATAGTTTTCTATAGATTCTGACTTGTAGGGTCAATTTATAAATCTGTTTTATAATACTTGAATGACAAAAAAAGTTTTATTTATAAAAAATATTTTACTTTGTAAGCATTAACTTTGTAAATTTCGATTTACATTTTTTATTTTATAAACTATATGTACACTTCCTGTTACCAATTGTTCAAAAATTTTTTATTGTTGTTTAATGATGGAATAAGATCATATGTTTAAATTTAACTTTAAAAAAAAATAAACATAACTGACAATAACTATAACAAAGGAAATTAACATTATTTGTTAGTATTGGTTAGTTTTTTTTTCTATAAATAATTAAATGAATGAGAAAATTTTTGCTTGGGGTATTGGACCAATTTTTTCATATTACCCAAAAGATCCAGTTTCGAAACGACGATATTTCTTTTGTATCGCAATCCACTAGAGCTTTCGAAATAAAAATTCAAAAGAGCAACATTTGGGTTCTCGTACGGCAAAGATGATACAAAATCTTCATATACAGAAATTTGACATGAAGACGGACAATCGCAATGTGAAATAGCATCAGCTAAGAATTCAAGGGTATAATACATTTGAAAAATGTGACATTACCAGTAAGCATTTTTCGTTTTGCATTTACCTTTTTTTGAAATACACCAAAAATCCGATACCATACACTCTCGCACGTTATCATCTGTGGACAACAGTATCAAGTAATTGTTGAATATTTTTATCAAAATATTGATTTCAAAACATCCATACCTTTTCTTTCGTAATAAAATCCAAGATTGCACCCACACAAAAGTTGTACGTTTTTTTGGGCACAATCGAGCAAGCAATTTTCGTAAAAATATTGCCCATTGTCGTATTTGCAGGGTGGGTTGTTCGTATTTTCTAGCTCCAAAATTTCATCGGACGAATGTATCACATTAAATTGGATCCCGATATCGTATTGGACTCCATAGGTGACCATCCGAGATGTTCTCGTTTTGACACTGGGATGTGATATAAAATAAAAAAATGTCGCGTCGTCTGGTGAACAAAAGAAACGTCACATTTTCGATTGCTTACAGAAAAAAATGCACGAATCAAATTTCACAGTTATTACTTTCTTTTTCAACTACATGATTTAATTTTTCATTTGTAATCATAATTTGTAGTCCGCTTCCACTGCCAAAATTATTCGTTGTGTACGGCTCGACTATATTTTTTTCAGTAGTTGTCAAAGAGTTGAACGAATAACACATTCCAAGCTCCGTTTTTTCAATGTCAAATAAATCGCAACAATTTTTCTTTTCATTAATCCACGTGCATTCGTGAAACAATTGATCACATTTGGGCATAAGATTTATTAATACCTCCGTTATGTTGATACCTTAAAAAAAAAAAAAAAAATCAATAAAATCAATGCGCCGATTATTTTTTGTTGTACCAATGGAATTTCCCTACTATCGAGTAAAGTGAGAATTTTGGTACTGTCGGTGGGAATTTGCAGTTCACCCAAATGGTTCCGGTCGAATATGGATATTTTTTTTAGAATCTCTACGAAAACGTCTCGTTCTTCCTTGTTACTTTCAGGAATTAAAGCATCTGCCAACGCGTCAACTTTGCCCCAATCGATTCGATTGCCAGGACATATGGTAACGCTGGGAAATGGGACATTTTCAAAACCATATTCCAAATTTTTTATTGTCACTACTGTTTGCCTGGACTGCAATTTAAAAAGTTTCTTTTTTAAATTATTGATTGCGTTGAAATCTAATTATTCGTAATATTATTAATACACAAACTTGGTAATTTTCCTTTATTTTGAGAGTCACGAGAAAAGCACAGATGAAACCAATCAAAACTAGTAGTACCCATATGACGCGCTCAATTTTATACAGTTGACCATCTACTCCGTACTGTATGCCATGAAGACTCGTATGAGTCACAAAATATTTCAACATTGCAAGTGGACTTTCTACCCTCTTTGGAATATTGTTTTGTTTCTTACTTTTAGTTTTCATACGTATTGTTAATAATTTTTTGGCATGAAAAAAGTTATTNTAAAAAAAAAAAAAAAAAAAAACTTTTTAAAATCTTCACAGTTTTGGGTGGCTTTCGTTTCTTGCCAATCTCAATACAAAGACGCGGTGACGCTGACGCTCCGTCAAATAGACGTGATCAAGCGGCTGGTGAACAAATACCCGAAAAACTTGGAACTCGTGACTGCAGCTGACAACATAGAAACGTCATGGAAAAATGGAAAACTTGCTTCCCTCATTGGCGTCGAAGGAGGACATTCTCTTGATTCCAACTTGGGGGTTTTGCGGCTCTACTACGAACTCGGAGTGCGCTACGTAACTCTGACCCATTCCTGCAACACCCCATGGTACGTTTCTGCTGCATTAGAAATAAAAATTTTTCTGGGGTACTTTTCACGACATCATTAATTTTTGTGTATACTCTTTCTCTAGGGCCGATGCATCACCGTGGACTGACAAACCCGTCTACAACTTGACTGAATTCGGAAAGGTGATTCTTCAATTTATTAGCACGAACATCGAGAAATAAAAATGTTTTAAGACGCATAGTCGCAATCAACTGATAATTTTTCCATCAGTACGTCGTATGGGAAATGAATCGCCTCGGTATGCTTGCCGATCTCTCGCACGTATCCCACAACGTCATGAGGGACGTGCTAAATGTCACGAGGGCTCCAATTATTTTTTCTCACTCATCGGCTTATGCCATTTGCAACAACTACAGGAATGTCCCCAACGACGTCCTACTCAAAGTAGTGAGTACATTTATGTGTGGAAGGTTGTAGAATTTGGATTGTCAATTATGTTAATTTTTTACTTACTTACCCACAGAAAGAGAACGAGGGGATTGTGATGATCAATTTCTTCAATGACTTTGTTAACTGTGATAAAACGAGAAATGCTACGATTGACGATGTCGTTGGTAAGAATCAGTACCAAAAAAGCTACGAATTGATTTGATCGGTTACATGTATATTATTTTCAGCGCACATAAACTACGTTAGAAATCTCATTGGAGTGGATCATGTTGGTATTGGCGCCGATTACGATGGAGTCGAAAAGTAAATTTTATAGTGTACTGGAATGTATTTATAATTATAGAGTTAGCCAATAAGGATACTTAATTTACTAAATTTAGCTTACAAAAACTAAAAATTCTTTAAATAACTTGAAAAAAAAATTTTTTTGTTTACGATCAAATTTTTTATTTTTTTTCGCAAAGTATCTCGTTAGACACAATACTAAATATTAATAATTTTTTTTCAACTGCCCAGCGCGCCCGAAGGACTCGAGGATGTCATCGCAAACGATGAATTGAGCAAGTTTCCATTTGAAAAGAACCTCACAGAGGACAAGGTCTTCATTTCACACTCATTTTTTTTAACAAAAAAAAAATAATAAAAAATGAAAAAATGAATTAGTTAATAAGAGCAGCGACAATTAAATTGTATTTTTCCCAATAATATTGAAATATAAAATCATGAAATTCCAGCGAAATGTTGTCAACACCGAGTCAGTAATCGGATGGGCCATAATCATAGAAACTTATAAACGATGTACCTAATGTGTACGATGTACCGTATGACATGAAATATTGCACACCATTTCATTAAAAGAATAGTTTTTTCTCTAGCAAAAGTAATAAAATGTTTGTTGATTCAAATTCATTAATTTATGAACAAAATAATTTGTCTATGTTTAATACAGCTTCAACATTATAGTACAAAGACGAAAAAAAAAAAAATTCCTAAAGTTCAGAGAAATGCTCACAAAATATAGAATTTACTTTTGAACTTAATAAACGAAAAAAATATCTACATGGCCACAATAATCACCGCAACTGAAATTGCTTTATTGCCTTATCAAGCTAGATTAAATAATCTCTATGGTAGTATTTTCCATTACCAAACGAATAAAGTAAGAGTGAACGGCATTAACTCTTTTGTAAAGCCGTCCTCCATCAGACGGTTGACCGTTTACGTTGTCAGTACAGTCTCAGACCTGTTCGCGTGAAGTGTCGTGATTTTTTAAAGACAATGTCGGCGTTACAAGGTACGATTTTTTTTTTTAAATTTATTTTTTTAAATTATTTAATCACTGCAATTTGGTTGAAAATGTTGATAAAATGCTAGTAGTAAAAAGTTCAACGATAAAAATCTTTGTGATGAATAGAATCAAATAACAGTGTAAACTGTAAAACGTATATTTATTATACGAATGTTGGCACAATATTTTCTTCATCGTTTTCCTACTGCCCGCTAAAATGTCAAAACAGCAAAAAATAAATAGTTATGTAATATAAATACGTGCAAACGTAAAGCGTTGTGGTTGGAATGTCGATTTTTCAATCGAGGATTGGAATTTCTCCAGATTTTTCTTTGCCTTTTCTACTACCTGTACATAAGCAACAGAGTTTCGTTTCCTCGTGTCCCACGTTAACGGTGTGGATGTATGAGAGGCGTTGGAAAACATAGTAGCTGTGCAGAAAACAAGACATGTACAGGAAAAGGCCCTCGGTGGTCTGATATTTACTGCGTCGTACGGTCTATTCTATTACTCTTCAAAATTTTTGTGTATTATATCCATGCCATCAAAAAGATTTTGTTCGTATAACTATATCAATTATAAGCGCCAGGCATACTTTTTTTATTTTATTTTTGTGATGTAAAACTAAAAATTCGAAGAATTTAACATGGATTCTGAAATAAATAAATTATGCTTCTATTATTTAAAGAGGTTTATCTCGCAAACAAAAAAGTTACAAAAACTCTATTACCGTAAATTCATTAAATTTTTACAAAAATCTTATTTAAAATTTTCGAAAAAATTTAAGTCCAAGTCGCATCTTTAAAATAATTTGATGAATGTAAAATATATAATCTCATTAATAACTGCAAAAATACGTAATTATTAAAATAAAAACAGTTAGTTTTACTATCCATAGTTTCAGAAGTACTTGAACGAAGTTGGCTCTCGGCTCTGATAGACAATGCAAACGAACGTGTTTGATGTCGGCTTGTATTTTCATGCGGCACGATGACTTTTCACAAAATCACTTTCAGAAGCCATTCTACTCATAATAATTGTTATATTATGCAACTCGGTGCTGCTCTTCGTGAGACCTTATACTTTATAATGCTATTCCATTAAAATTTTTATTTTTGAAAATTCATAGCTCACTTTAACGCATTAAAAATAATAACTTCTATTAACTTAATATTTTCATCTTAAAATAAAAAATTGTTACTTTACTTTGACTTTAGAAACTTCGACGTCTTAAAAGGAATCTTGTAATCTATTTGATTCATAATACGTTAATGTTATTTTGTCGAGATGAAAAAAACCTCTACTCCTCCAAAATAAAATGAAGCATCTATTGTACGTTTTTAAAGTATTAACTTTGAAACAACGTATTTAATTGAACATTTTTTTTATTTTTTTTAATTAAAACACAACTTTACAGAAATATTAAGAAAATTTTGTTNTATTCCGATAATCAAAAAAAAAAAAAAAAACTATTACACAAATATGATGTATACTGCTAATAATGTTATGAACTCCCAATGTCTGCATTGTGCAATAATCCGACGACTTTTACCTCGTTGGTACCTTGAAAAACTGGCATTAAGTCAAAACCAAGTCAGTCTATATGAATATCATTCAAGCCATGCGTCCCGTGGACAAAAGGCAAAAATTAGCTATACTGTATGCTATTAAGAAGTACACGTATACCTGCGATATCGCCGTCAGATAATGAGATTGACGCAACTTGGTTGAGGAAATTGTAAGGACGTCGTTACTTTGGTCGTACACAATTTTTTATTATGCTCGCGACCACAGAGAGATACCGATTGAAACATGCGTGTATGCAATTTTTGGTTCATTACGTGCATTTTTACAATTGTTACAGTGCCATGGATTTGCTTGTGTGACGCTTTATTTGTTAAAAAGTTGGGTAAGAATTACAATGTTACTATTGATTGAATTTTTTTTTTTTTTCATTCCATGGGATCGGTATGGGGTATCGATATATTCCTTCAGTATACATGGTGAAAAAAAAACTTTGAAAATTTTATGAATTAAAATTTTTTCATAATATTTTGAATAAAATGTGTGGTGCATAGTTTTAAAAGTGAATTATTGTGATTGAGAAAATTCAACTTTATGAATTTTTTTATATATTACGAATATCTCCGGTTTTCCAGTAAATAACGAAGCCAGCGATGGAATCGGGAACAAACTGCAGATGATATTTTACGAGGGGTAATTCGTATGTATTATAATAAAACAAAAACACCTTGTCGACGAATGGTATAAAAATTGTTATTTCGCACTTGTAAATCCCGATAATCAGTCAGTCTGGAGCAAACGCGAGATCCTCCAGCTACAAATTGTACCGGTCGAAGGAACTGATGGGTCGTCTCGACCTGAGCAAGCCGTTCGTCTTGTACATCCACGGTTACGAGGAGCATCCTTCGAACGAAAGTTGTCAAACCATAGTTTCAGGCAAGTACTCAATAAAGTTATACAATTGCACAGAAAATTTGTAATGTTTCGGGTCGCGTGTACACTCGCAACCGTGTCTTAATTTGGAAATCGCAAAATTCAAATACTGATAACTATTTATAAGATTAAAAGGCAACTAAGAGCTATCACCTGAAACCAAAAAATTACATCAGTAACAACTGCCACGCAAATCATTACTCAATAACACAGTTATTGCTATTTTTTCGCACTCGTGCTTCTTATTTATTACAAAACACTTAAAACACTCAAATTTTCCGGTTTTCCAATTAAGACACAGTAGCTTGTACATACAGTCGAGATCTCGCGTGAAAAAAATGTAGTCAAGAAGGCTGTGAAAAAATACTGGACACGTATTTTTTTTTTCTTTACATTTGAACAAAAAATTACGGGGACAGAGCACATGATGACAGTTCACGTGCGGAGGAATATATTGTGTAATAGAGAGAGGTACGAATTATTTTCCATTTCTATGACGTACTTGGCCTTCACTCCTAAAACATTACCATGCGCTCTATGTCTTAGTGATTTATTATTCACGTATCCGATGTTTGTTAATGATCAAGTTAATGTATCTGGTCGATATTTTCACGCAAGATCCCAATCAACGACTAATACCCGTTTGTTCTATGGTATGGTAAAGGTGCGCGTGTGATTACAGCATACCTACGAAGAGGTACGGACAATATTGTTTTGCTGGACTGGAGCTCGTTGGCCTTCGACAACTACATAACCGTGTATTTCCGTATAAAGGACATCGCTAGGCACACAGCCGAAGCTGTCAAAAATTTGGTGCTCGGGGGCTTGAGCGTTGATACGCTGCATATCGTAGGCCACTCCATGGGCGGTCAGGTTGCCGGGTTTATTGGACAATATTTAGATTTTGTCCTGCCCAGGGTCACCGGTGAGGTTTTTTTTTTTTTTTTGTGAATTAAATTACATGTTCGGTTTACGTGTGACCTTGCAAAATAACTTTTTTGAACAAATAAAAGCTTTATACATTCGATCCGACTGTTTTAAAATTTGAAATGTATTGACAAATAAGTTTATTATTGACACATTATTTAGTCGTCCAACTTTTTTCGTCGATTAATTTTTTTTTGCGTGCAGAAATTAATCCAGAAAAAATAATAACGTTAATATCATTGACAGACTTGGGCACAAGTACATTACGGATTTTTAATCACTTCAAAATAAGATTTTTTTTTTCCAAAATGAAGCGTATTGTTGTTGCTAATGATTTTTTTATTTAATACATACTAGTCATAATACCATATGAGGATTAGTTTTGTTTAGCAGATAAGTGCAATATACATATATAACAGTTCATTGCGTAGTATTTAAAATCAAATACTTAAATACTTGGACTTTTTTCTTTTTTTAACTATAATGCATCATTATTATTATTATTATTATTA